TCCGAATTGGCCACCCCTAAGTTAAACAATAGAAACCTCAGCGCCATCTTCTTCGAGTTGTTTCTTAGCTTCTTCTGCTTCATCTGTCGTCACGCCTTCCTTTAAGGCCTTAGGAATCTCTTCAATGAGCTCTTTCACCTCCCTCAATGACAAGCTAGCCATAACCCTAATCGCTTTAATCAATTCATAACGCTTACGCTTATTCAATGGGACTTGGTTCATAACCACATCGAATTTAGTCTGCTTCTCCACACCAGAAGCCGCCTCACCGCCACAAGGAGCGATAGCTGTCGCTGTAGGTGTCTCTGAAAAGACCAAAGAAACACCGAACTTGTCGTGGACGTACTCGACGAGAACGCGAGCTTCTTCTAGGGTCAGAGAAGTGATCTCGGAACCAATCTTTTTGATTTTCTTCGGAGTTTTGACGGCGGAGATGGGAGGGAGGTGGATCGCACGGTGGCTGAGAGTTGAGGAAGATGAAAGAAAGCGAAACGGAAATTGGATTGCGAATGGTCGGAAAAGGAAGTGATGATCATTTGCGGAGGAATGAGATGAGGAAAGGATTGAGCTTGTGATTGAAAGAGACGTAACTGCCATGTTTTCTCTATTTTTTGGTTTTTCTTCTTCTTGGGATTTGACTGCACGAGAGGAAGAAGATGAGGAAAAAAAACCCTAATTTGTGACCCCTTCCCCACGAAATTAACCAACATTGTCCCTACAAATTCCTTGGTCTCACCATCGGACCCCATTGAAAATTAATTTAGATACATAAATTTTAAATTTTATTTGTGAAAAGGTAAATCGTTATATTGAAATATTTCTAAAATCCCATTGATTTAAGTTTATGGTTATTTGTTTTTTGTATTGACTATACATATATACGTAAATACACTAAATTTTGCTATATAATTCTTTAAAACTATTTGATTTTTATTTGATAATTCTTTTACGATTCACGTATTCTAAAAATTATCAATATCATTAAAACTTAGTAATAGAAAGAGAAACGAAAAATCAAAGCATTTGGTTACATGAATGTGATGATCATGAATTTGATAATTCATCTATTTTTTTATATGAAAGGAAAAATCTATAGATTATTTACAACAATGGGGGATAATTTGCATTAGATAGTGAACGTTTGGGGTAAAAAAACAAAAAAAATTTTAATAAATGCCACTTTTGAAATACTATTTTTCAAAAATATCATATTTTCAAAATTTTTGCAGAAATGTCATTTTTTCAAAA